TTCATGAAATTAATATTGAATGCCATTTGTATTTGTATTAAGAGAAAGTAAAAGGAAATAAGAAATTGGGATCAGAATACACTCCTGTTCTGAAATTGGTGTGTGAGTGTTGCTGGTTTTCATTGCGGTGGTGTAGAATGGCAGCCATGTTTTAGTCATTTAGCCCCAGGGCAAGTGAGGCTATACAAGCAGTTTTCCACCTACATGTAAATTGTTTTGCAACTTTTATTCTTTCAGTATCAAATCCTTCGAGAGTTACTATTTGTACCATCTTGACACAGACCAGAGTTGTGTAAGCCAGTGGTTCCAGGCTTTTTTTTTTTTTTTTACCTTGAGTTCCTCCAAAGCATCTTACTCATGATACACCCTACATATGCCATCATATGTTTACTATATTGCCATTAGTAATAATAACTATTAGTATTTTTTAGTTTTTTCTTGTTTTAATTATATTCATGTCAGAGAATGAGAGCCTCGCACATCAACTACTAGAGACGGGTGCGTTGGAGGAGAGGGAGCAGCCCCAGAACATACAGAAAAATCCCGCACACCGTCTTACTTGCAAACTGTGAAATTTATTAGGACAAACCGTGCCTGCAACGTTTCGGCACTAGGCCTTCGTCAGGCAAACCTGTTTGCCTGACGAAGGCCTAGTGCCGAAACGTTGCACGCACGGTTTGTCCTAATTAATTATATTCATGTCAAAATGATACTACACACATTGTAAAGGAGGTAAACAAGATCTTGTTACATTCAAATACTCAGTTTTGCTTTCTTTTAAATATAAAATCATTCTAAGTACCCTGGTTGCATATCCCCAGAGAGCCCCTCATTTGGAAACACTGTTGTAAGCTTCCTTGTATATCAGAGGCACAAAGAGGCAGGATGGTGGAGGGGGGCTGCAGTGAAACCCTTGACACTGGACTGTCCGTGGAGGATGTGGGGAGCAAAGGACAGAGCTGAGGAGCTCTGTGCCGAGTCTTGGACATGAAGAAGCACTCTGGCCCTCTCTGAAGTGTGGATACAGTGTTCTACAGTAAACACACAGAGGCTTTAAATGTTTATGAGAATCACAGCCTAACACGTGGCAGGCTTGCACACTGAGCACACTCCAGGGTCAAGAGGGTTGGGTCAGAAGAATGTGCTGAATAAATCTGTTGGGTTACAATAGACTTTTTATGTAGCATCTGTGATAAAAATGTTTGTTGTTCTCCTATCGAGCCAAATAAGTGTTTCAGTAAGAGTAAATTTTTCTACTAAAGGTCCTATATTACACAAAATTGACAAAGTGAGCTTTAAGCCATGTCAGAATGATGTTAACTCCTCAAAAACATACCTGGAGTTGTGTTTTGTTTCATTCACATACAGTATGTTGAGTAACCCTGAATTATTGGGCTGCATCTGCATCTCCACAGCTCAAAATGCTCTGTTCCACCTCATGATGACATGAAGCTGTAGTTTTCAAGTTCACAGCTAACAGCCTATTACCTTGTGTTCAGTAAGAGTGTGGTAACTCCAGTCCCATTCAAATTATTTAATGTGATCAACAAAACGGTTTTGTTGTTGTTGTTGTTGTTGTTGTTGTTGTTTTTAACAGTGAAAAAAGTACCGTAACCAAATGTTTTACAGTGTTTTTTAAGATAGGCATTGGGTAAGCTTTAGCCCAAAGTACAACTATGATGTGCATTGTACATATCTATGCATATGTATACACACATTAACATACACATGTACTGTTACACATATCCACACATACCCACACACACATTAGACATAATGTCAAAATGAAAAAAGTATATGCCACAGGCAAAGTCAACAGCTAAGCACTCCATAGAATGCTTAAGTATTCTACAGAATGTTTGCATTATCAGTGCCCCTGTAACATCCACACATTCAAATGCACACATGTATAAGCATACACACATCTTGAGTTGTCACAGCAGCTTTCTCGTTATGATAGCGTCATCGCTGAAGCCAAGCTTCAGATCACTATTATTTATGCACACCATTTCCATTACAAACTTCAGTTACAGTAATTTTCATTTAAATTAATTGTTATTAGCTCTATTGTTTATATTAGATCTGTAGTATACATTTTATTATAGTAATAACTGTTTCATTTCTACATTTTTACTGTTTTAAGTAAGTGCTAAGAAAGTCAACTTTTTAGGCTTAGACAAACTTGATCTTAAACTCACACATTACAACACAAAATAATTTAAGTAGAAGTAAAAGTATTGAGTCATAAAACTACTCTTAAAAGTAAGATTTGTTCAAAAGGTTATCGAAGTAACGTCTATCCATACAGAAAGAAACACATAATGTTCTATTTCTAGGAGCAAAACTTGTGTGCAAAAACGTAAAGGTCATATAAACAACACTGTGCGTGTGGGTTCCAATGAGGTGAGTTTCCACAGCCAGGTCCAAACATCTGCTGAGCGATGACCCGCACACCCGCACCTGGAGGAGGGCGACGTGTGCAGATAAAGTTTAAATAGAATCCTCCATTGCACCAGAAACACTGTAATCACATTTGACAGGGCACACTTAATCTCCTGCTAATGCTGTCGTTTTGCATCTAAAGTAATAGGGACCTGTTGTGGCGCATATGAAATGACAATATGAGTGATCAGAGAATGGATAAGAGCGCGCCTTCAGTGGAGTGACACATCCGAGAGCCGCTCACCACAGGTCTGCGCGCTAAATACTTCTCTCCTTAACGTTGCTCAGAAGTGTGTGAGACAGAATTAGAACACTTGAGATCATCTACTGTAGTGTAATACCACACTGTCTACAGGGAACAGTTTCACCTCACATGTTTACAATGAATGATTTAATTAGGGGTGTCAAATTATCGCGTTAATTGCGATTAATTAATTACAGTCATATTTAGCGCGTTATGTTTTTTAATCGCGTTAATCTCATTTTTAATCTCTAACTTTACTGTTTCTGTATGTGAGTTGCTTTATTATAAAACCTGTTTTTATGTGTTGTTGGGACAACAACACACACACACAAAAAAACACATTTATACATTTTTTTATTTCGGTAATTCCACTCATTGCCGGAAACCCACACAAAACGCGCGCAGTAAGAGCGATGTAAACGTCATGTTAACGTTGGCGGCGTCAGTCGCACAATGGAGGAGGTAGAAGAGCCAGTAGAACAGAGTCAGCAGTGCACAGGTAAAAACGCATTCATGTCTTGGAAATTATTCTCCCGACGTGAAATATAAAAGAAAATAACAAATATAATATCGCCTACAACTTAAATGTCACTGGTGAAAACAACCTGCATAGACTCATGATGTCTGCACTACTGTCCTATAGTGACCTGCCACATGAGGGGACACGCACACAAACACACACAACACACAAACACACACCTTCATTATCGTCATTAACCTGAGAACGCGCGGACCACGTTTCCTTCTGTAGTTACTGCACGGACACAGACGTGCTCCCGTGCGCCGCGTGTGGATCGTGTTTTCTCACGTACGCTGAGTAAACCGCGCTTCCTCCTGTGCGCCTCTAAACCAGAACTAATCCAGTCCAGGACTAAACCAGGACTAAACCAGAACTAAAACCAGGTCTAAACCAGGTCTAAACCAGGACTAAACCAGAACTAACACCAGGACTAAAACCAGGATTAATCCATTCCAGGACTAAACTAGGACTAAAGCAGGTCTAAACCAGGACTCATATATAAAGCATTTCTCTATCGATGATATTTTTAATATGGTTAAGGAAAGACTGGACTTTTTATTGTCTTTAAGTAGACAAAAGTTATTATGTTCAGATTTCCTCGTCTTTGCTACTTTACAGCAAACAGTTTCTTATTCATGGAGACTTGGGCTCAACAGCCAATTTGGAGAGATTTGTTAAACAATAAATGACTTTATAAAGTCACTTTTTTTGTTCTATATCAGTCTTTTGATCTGCCACAATAATGTAATAATGAATTTAAATGAAAATACCTCAAATTGAAGGCTTTTCTCAGCAATTTTCAGGTGAGATTAAAATTAGATTAATTTGATTAATTAATTACAGATCATAATTAATTAATCTCTCAATTTTTTTTATCGCATGACAGCACTAGATTTAATATTTTGTAATACCAGGCCTGTGGATTCATATTATGTAATGTATGAGTAAATGGGAGTAAATGAGCTTTTTGACTAATAGCCTACAACAAATCACAACCGTAATTGTTGCTCTTCTTTTGGGTCAAGTGTTTCCTTTAACTTACATTCTGGTAATCCTCTTTGAGAAATACCCCCTCCCTCTTCTTTCTGATAAGTAACTTGATTGGCTGTTTCGGACTTTGTCGTTCTTCCCTCGCAGCCAATGAGAGTCGAGCAACTGTTGCATCCGCAGGCTCCTGTGCTGCAGCAGAGATTGAGAAAGCGCTGGACCAAGTCCTCTGTCCATCACACCATTAATCAGCGTTAATCACCGTCATCTTTAGCACGCCTTACTCTCATTATACGGTCCTTGAGCGCTGTGCTCAGAGCTCTGAGAATGGGACGATAGCTCCATCTGAAACATTGCACTTCTGTTGACTTAGATACAAATAGTCTATATAAATATCCATGATAAAACATTGTTCTATAGTTTATATTATAAATCAAAACGCATACAAACTGAGACACAGACTGGGTTAGCGTTAGTAATTTCCGACGCCCTCCATCGGCACTGCCACGTCTGTCTCTCCATCCCGCCCGCCTCCTTCTCTCCTCTGTTTGTGAGTCTGCACGCGCGTCCTCTCTCGCTCACAGCGCTCTTGAAGTCGTCGGAGGCAGGACTGATACGCGGCGCTGACACTGTGGGAGCAGAGACTGTGGATTGTGAACCTATCCTCACCATCACTGCCACTCACGAGCTTGTGTCCGCGTTCTCTCAGGACTGAGGACGCATATGCCCAGTGCACTTTGGGAAACACGGATCCCATCGCATTTAAGGGACATCCCCGTTTTGGCTTCAGCTTGGTTGTGCGCGCAGACAGCGTTGCCTCTGTGGATGTGTGGGACGACTGATCACAAGTGATATTATTTTATTAGGATAGCCTTGCATCTGTATATTCTCGTCAACTCAAGGTAAGCCTTGTTTCAATTTACTTCTTCTGTGGTTTGATTTTAAACTAGTGGATCTGTGAATCCTTTTTGCACTATTGCTGGATGCTTGCACTGCGCACTCCCCTCAGGGGTCTCTGCCTAGGTACGGATACAGTGGTAGGGTTTTGCTCTGCCTTTGCAGCCTGCTGTAAAGTGGTGTATGACTCTCATGTGGAGAACGTTTTACGGTTCTGCTGTGTTCGCGTAGATCAGTGTTGGCTCTCCTCCTTTTAACCATGAAATCTGTGCATTTGGGTGACTCCAATCTTAATTACTGTAGTGTTTTTTCCAGTTTTATCAGACACATTTAAGGGCTAGTTGAATCTTTGCAAAGCTATAATTTCTGTAAGGAACGCAGTCGAGAACACTTTTTTCCAGTCTACTGTTTAGCATTGGGTGTCTGTTCGCAGAACTGCGTCCCCTTCACGTCTTCATTATATGGAATCAACATCTTGAAACGAGTGTCCCTTAAGGCTCCATATGGTTTAGTATTCAGTCCATTTAAATACTTCAGCGGCCATTCCGCGTCCTTGCCCTTTTACCGTGCGCGCACCGAAGCCGGCGGAGCGCCCTGCACATCGCATACAGATCACTTGGCCAGGGGCTCATTCCGCACTCAATTAGCTCCGCGCTCCGCTCCCTGCAGGGCAACGAGCATCGCGTTTTAATTGTAGCGCACTGCACGCTCGTAGTCTGAGCGCTGTCTTTGAAGAGTCATATCATAAAAAGATGTGAGTGGATTTTAGTCCATCGTATGTGAGATGTTGGGGTGCATTTATGCGCGTATGTGCCAAGAGCGCACAGTTAGATCACCAGAATGGCTTGGTAAGGCGCAAATGTTTGGTATTCATGGCACAAGTGAAGATTGCTGCTCTCCGCCAGGCAGTAATCTCCACACTGTTGCGCTGCGCTGCCTCAGCCTCCCCAGCTCCGCTCCGGTCCTGGGGGAGCCATTCACAAAATCATTTGCTGCTGTTGGCTTCTGCTCGACTGCGCTGTTTGTTGTGGAGCCTCATTGTGTGGAAGTCCACAGCTCAATCAAGTTAAAGGCACTTTGATTTCACACACACCAGTCAGTGAAATGAGACTCCCGATGAGCTCAGAGGAGAGTCGGACAGACTGCAGGAGAAAATATAGTCGGCCACAACTCAAATGCAAATGTCCTTTTTGTTCACATATTTTCGAAGGTGTGAAAATATCCACATCCTTCTGGTCGATTTCTGAGGCCAAACATTGTGCTTAATTTTGAATTAAATTTTTGTGTCTGCGTGAATATTTCTTTGCCTTAAAAATACATGTTGCTTATGAATAATGTGAAATTATCTTGTTTAAACCTAAATTAAATTTTAATAACTTTAATAACTTTATTTGTAATTTTGTAGCATTTTCTTCTGGTATTTTAATCAGACCAGTCTAAATTGGTAATCAATGTTTAACAAAACATGAGAACATTACAGTTCAGTAGTGATTTTGTCAGTGCAGACAGGAGCTCCAGGCTGTAGTGTTGGACAGACCCAGTGGAGTTGGTGGAGACACAGGAGAGTTTTGGTCCATCAGCGGCATCCATGTTGAGGCTGTGTAGGAGCGCTTGGTCCCAGCTGCTGGTGGCGCTCAAAGGTCCCTCTAAAAGGCTGATTCTGTTTGTGGACGTTTGCATAATGGCCTCCTGGAGCTGCACCGAGGGCTGATTTATTCTGTGAGAATGGAGAGAATTGATTAAAGAGGGACTAGGAACGTGGCGGTGAAAACATGTCTGCTCAGAGCTCTCAGAGGAGCCACTGCACTAGACCGCATTTTCCACACTCACTGTTTTGCGTTAAATACAGGGTTAAAACAAAAAACCCCACTGTCACTTTTGAAGCAGATTCTTGTATTAAAGAAAAACTCAAATTTTCAAATACATCTTTCTCTCTTTGTTCATGTGGCCTTCAGAGTTTGATTAATGACAGAAGGTGTAACAGAAAATTGGCACATACTTACATACAAATTTATTCTTACAAATCAGCGTGTAATGTATTTTCACTACCAATCTTGCTTGTTGTAGAGACTGACCTTAGTTCTAAATGGAGCCCTCTGAAATATGTGAAAATGAGGACAAAACTAGCAACACCTCTGCTGTAATGTATGTGTGATATGCAGTGATGGGAACAATATTCCAAAGATGTAGATTGAAGATTTAGTTACAGAATAGCAAATAAAATGTGTTTGGTAACTTATTTTGATGGACCAAACAAAGGACCGTATTCTGAATACTTGGAATATTTTTACACTGCGTTAAATTTAAATTATAGAGTAAAAACGCAATTTAAGACCAAAAACAACTTTATATTTGCTATGCATTTCCTCTCGCTAACTGGAGATGGAAAAACACATTTGCCTTACCACAAGAGCAGTGTTTTCTCTTTTTCTCACGAATACGGTGCAGTTTGAAACCAAAATGGTGTGATCAAGTATCACCGTGTATGCCTTTGATTTTAGAAATGTAACTCTGTTCTGAATACCACCAAATGAAAAAGTAATTGTATCAGAATAGAGTTAATCTCTATGAGTATTCAGAATATTCTTGGTATTCAGTTACTTTCCAACACTGGTGAGTTTTTTTTATTTTCATGGTAGGCGCCAATTGTTTAGAATTCAGAGAAACCAATGGCCAATAAGCTCTGCCGATATTTTTGGGCTGATATGTAGGATTGATATTGATTGTTTTCTCCAGATTATATAATTTAAATTTACTACAGATTCACCCACCCCACAAACCTTTAAGAGAGCAGTGTAGTCATGTTTTGAGCAGTTATCTTTTCCCACTAAAGTCTTAATATAAAGCTTTATGTGTATGTTTGAAACGACAGATAAAAAAAAAAAAACTAAGTACGGCTTATGCTGGAGATTTAAGGCCAATAGCTGACATGCTAAAAAGTCCAAATATTGTCTCAATATATCTGCCAAACAATATAGTGGCCTATCTCTAATATGCGACCACTCTAGCTTTCACATGCACTGTCACTATATGAACAATGGATAGGACTGATACGAGCAAACTCCAAAGGTCTCTGCTAATTAACTGGTCAAAGAGCCGTGCATTGGGGGAACAGAGCATGACTCCCATTAGAAGCAGCTGATGGGCAGTGTGACTTCTATTACCAGGATCACTGTGGCTTTTCCAGGCGTGTTGCTGCCGAAAGCTGAGCCTCCCTCCTCCTCTCTCTCAGATAACGCGCTCCGTCTGTGGGAAGGGAGCACAGATCTGGGACTAAAGGGAGACTTGTGTGACAGGGGGATTGGGTTATTCACTGCTGCTTCATGGAATCACTGCTGCCGCTGAAGTCTTGCGTGGAGATGAAATAAGAAGTCTCATAATTCACAGTACATTTCTTTAGCCTCATAACTGCCTTAGTCATTTTTGTAGTTTTCTGCCCCATTCTACTCACCAGACCTCGCTGCGGCTGTAGATGTCATTGGCTCGGTCCTCCTTCAATCACAAAGCCGGTTACAAGGCCAGCCAAAAACTATTCAGAAAGGTCAAGATTTGTTCGATTTATATGAGTATGCCTATTGATTTTTTTCACAACTCCAGTCTAGTCATAAAGCAAAGGAATCATTTTCAATATAGGCTTCGTGATCGGGTGCACATGTGGACAGTCAAAAACAAACTTAAAACAAACTAAGTCTGTCATGTAAGGTCAAAACTGTCAAAAAGTTTCGCATTATCTTGATAACTATATTCTGACAATATTTTAGCAATGCTTCAGTGTGCTAAATGTGCCTATAAATGTGTTGGCTGAGGTTCAAGTCTCACAAAAAGGTGAATGGTCCATAACAATTACCACAAAAGGGCAGACATATCTCACTGCTCTTGCTTGGGAGATTATGCTATACATTTCTGTCCATTTTATTTTTAATTGTCTATATTTGTTGTTTTAATTATAGATGACACTCATAATATTCTAGTTTTCCATAGCTCCATAACAACAATTTCCATACATATAGATATACGAGTATATACATTTTCCAATATATCTTGCATCTGCAAGCATGTCTGTAAAAACCCTTATCTTAGCCTAAAATACCCCTCTCTGATTTGGTGTTTGTGTGGAACAGACCTGAGTGCAGTGCAGCTGTAGAGGCAGCTGCAGTGGGCCTGGTGGACAGTGCTGACGCCGCTCTGGGGGGAACCTCCAACACATTCATTATTACTCTGTGTTCTTTGTGTATTTACTGTACATTAGTAGCTGCTCGCTCTCTCAAACCAGGCATAAAAATAAAGACTCACTCCTATAAATTTTAACACAAGTTGGCCTTAAGTGATTGCACTTTAATTGCTCTTTTACAGCGCAATTGTGTTTAATTCTATGTTTTTATGTTGTCAACGTTATAATTAGTACACCTCATCTCATGCATTTTCACTACCTGTTTTAAATGTGTGATTCCAATCAGACAAAAAACTATGTAAAACTACTGTTATTGTCAGTAATTTATAAAAAAAAAAAATAAAATGTTTGAGTATGCCATTTTTCAACACTTTAACCAAAACAATTCTGCTAATAAAGTAATACCAGCGTTACTATAATATCACTGCTACAACTAGATAAGTATTAGAAGTTTTACTGCCCCGTGATGGAGTAATGAGACAGGAGGGCGCTGTTGCCTGCTCCTCCATGCTCTGCTCCCTCGAGAGTTCACTTCTGCCTAGTTCTGTTCAAGCCTCTGTCTGATATTTCTGTGTGTGCTCCCGGAGTCCAAGGCCCCATCGGAGAGGCCGGTCTGTGCTAACACTCCCCAGGGATGCAGGATTCAATCTGACCCCCAGTACCTCGGATAAGAGACTGCCCCCGTGACTCCTGTTTCCCCATCTCCTCTGCTGCTCACAGAGGGAGGGGTTTTTCTTTTCTGTTCACTCTTTGTATTTTACCCTCTGTTCTGGTTTGTTGTAGTCTGACAGAAGTAAAGTCTTGTCTTTTTATACCAGTGTGCCCTAAAGCCTT